ATAATAAGATAAGAAAGTTTATACTATTTACCATTTTTAATGCCATTTATTGGATGACTTAACTTTGTAGGGGTGGATGAAGTGAACAATACAGCCCTAACATTTTCAGAAGCTCGATTTGATGAGACCAGGATTAAATATCACCAAGACCATCTTTTCTACGTTAAGAAAGCAATGGAGTAAGTCATCGTTTGTATAATGGTGTCCGTTCCCAATGAAAATCGTAAATTATGAAATTATATATTTCTATTTTGCTTAAAAAAACTAAAATTTATGATTTTTCTTTCATTACAGTGAAGGCGTAGATGTGCAAGGCTACTATATATGGTCAATGTTCGATAATTTTGAATGGGGTGCAGGATATAGTGTTAGATTTGGCCTTTTTTATGTTGATTTCGTGAATGGCTATTTGACAAGATTTCCAAAAGCTTCTGCTATATGGTTGATAAATTTCCTGAAGAAGAAGCGAAATATATTGAAAAGACAAGCTCAAGAAAATGAAGAAGAGTATGGCTCTGTGAAAAGGCCAAGAAGCAGTGACGTTTAAAATTTATGTGGTCCAGTTTCATTTGATTGTTTTGTTGAATGCTGCATGCATGTATTTTCCTTCCTGTTTTTTTCTTCCTGTTGTGATCTTTTATGTTTCAACTTTCAAACTTTTTTATATTAATAAATGAGATTCTCATTTTCTTTATCTTTCGAAATGAATCATGTAGTTCTCGCATAAATGAAGAACAAAATACACAAAAATTGGAGCATATTCGACCTGACGTATTGACATAACAGATAAATATAAATTTAATTATTCTAAATCGATTAGGAATTGATGAAAAAGAAAATTCTGACTAGGAAGAAGAAAGTTTTCAATTTATAGTGTATGTACTCTTGTCATGCTCCTCATCCATCGTGGAAAGTATTTTCTTAACTTATGATTACTTTCATTTGTAAGGAATTTTTAGATTGATCATGTGGGCTTATATGTGTGAATAATTGTGTATTAAATTAAAGGCTATCGAATTCAGTTAAGCCCAATTAAAGTGATCTAATAAGGCTTTGGTTTTGGGCTTTAATGTATTCAATTATGTGGGTTTCGTATGTGTAGAGACCGGGCTCAAGTCCTAATTCTATGATGGGCTGAATTAGATCAAAGGATATCGCTATATAAATAAGGTTATGGTCTTCAAATCACACATATCTTTTGCTCATTCTATTTTGTCTGTCTCCCATCGCTAGCAAGAATTACGAGCTACGTGTAAATATGGAAGATTATAACGTATGATTCAATTATTGCAAATAACCATGTCTGATTTAGGTACACTTTCGCTAACATGAAAAACCCGGTGGTTTAGACAATAAATTATCCTACATCATTATCACTCTCGTGTTCAGAATGTGCTGGTGGATGTCTAAAACTTGTAGTTCCCTTGTAAATGAAGAAAATGCACAAAAAATTGAAGGAGCGCATTCGACTTAATATACTATGGACATAACAGATAAAGATAAATTTAACAACTCTAAACCGATTAGGAGTTGAGGAAAAAGAAAATTCCGACTAAGAAAAAGAAAGTTTCCACTTTATAGTTTATGCTCCTCATCCATCGTGAAAAATGTTTTCTTAATGTATGATTACTTTCATTGTCACTCTCCTTTGCAAAATATGTTTGTGTTTATCCCAACCCTCTATACTCTTCGTACACATACATTTGTTGAATGTGCTACAATAATAATGTAAGCATATGCAACCACTATAAATTTAGATATTCGTGTCTTAGCTAAATTTTCATGACTAATGTCGTTCAAATCCTATTGAATAGATCTACGACTACATTCATCCTCTTGTTTCCCGTGTTAATAGTTCAATCAAATTAAAGATTTGGGTGTGCTCCACCTTTCTTGTCCATTTCCCCCCCTCTCTAGTTAGACATCGAGCACATTTTTAAGATTCCAAAGAAATGTGCTTTAGAAAGATAACAAAGTTGTTCAATTTATTTTTTAACAATTTAATAATAATACATAGTAAATTGTCATCAGTTAATGGTTCATGCAACAGATAAATAGTATTAAGATCCAAGCTTTGGACCTCACAACACTGATCTTTCTTTTTTTTTTTCTTTTTTTTTTTTTTTTTTTTGTTTTTTTTTTTATTTTTTTTTTTTTTTTTTTTTTTTTTTTTTTTTGTTTTTTTTTTTTTTTTTTTTCTTTTTTTTTTTTTTTTTTCATTAAAATTAAAATTTTTTTTGGTATTTATATTACTACACTTGTTAAATAGTGAGCCATTCAGGTCCAATGTTTAAAAGTATTTTGAATTTTTCGACGTAAAAAGTTGTAAAACCTTACATTAAACCTGAAAAAAATACCTAATGTTCATTTCAGCCATAAAAGTGTTTGAAGCAAATTTTGTGAGGAAACTATAGAAGATTCTACCGATCAATTAGCTTGCAGAATTCGGCTAGTACAATACAATTAAATTCATAAGTCGCCCACCATGGTATAGGGTGAGTAAAAGATGAAAGTTAGTTGAAAAATGACAATCAGATTCCTAATCAAATAAGAAATAATTTATTTAATCAATTTGTGATACACGAGCTTGGAACCATTCCAAATCCTACCTCAACAATAAGAATTCAGTTAAAATATATATTTGTTAAGATGTTTGATTCTATTGATAGATATTAGTTTAATTGGTCGATTTTAATTAGGAATTTTCTGTTGACTAGAATTGACTTGCTTCCATTCTAACTTAGTTGAACATGACTTATCCCACCTGAAGAAATCGGACATTGCAATCTGATTTTTAGATTGGTAAGTGTTCGTTAAGGTTGGTCGTAAATTTAATCTAGAGCCTGTTTGACATCTCTTTCGTTTTTGTTTTTCCTTACTGAAGAAGAGCTTTCTAAGGAAGCCATCTTAATTTTTAAAATAGTTTCTATTCTGAAAAGAATTTTCGGAAGTTATAATGTTCAATGTTATCCTATAAGTGAGATTAAGACGGATCATATGGTCAGATACTACAAATATGGAGATATACAAAAGACATATAAGAGAGATTGAAACAATTGATTTCTACTCCACTGATATAGAAAGTTATGTTACAATATTAATTGCGTTTTTTTTTTTTTTTTTGCCCACATTAATCTTTGAAAACTTTTATGGAAGATGGCTCCAAGGAGGTGATTTACTAGCTCAATTTACTAATCTCGACCTCATCAAACAACCTTCAATCCGACGGCTCAACCCACCACTTTCTATTCACTTTGATTGCTATAGTTTGTACTCACAAGGGACACAAAAGGGAGAGTATTTATTTGCAGCCACAAAGGCAAAGGAAGGACATAACGGTTGGTAAAGCATTGAGAGAGTAGCCGAAATCACCAAGCAAGAAGGCAAATAAACGTTACAGTGAAGGAAAAAAGAGACTACATATATAGGTGTAAGTTGGGTATGTAAATGGGCAAAGTCAAATGCAACAAATGGGCCAATCATATATTAGCCTCTAGGAAGTGAACAGGTCATAATCATCTAATTAAATTAGGTCAAGGAGGATTTGAGTAGAGTGATGCCGATCTGTCAGATCGTACGTTAATGGCGCTGAGATACAATGGGTTGGCGGATCGGCGCAAAAATGAAAAATAAATGCAATCTTTCCTTAATTGGAACAATTTTTGACACATTTTTGATAATTTGGCCACAACTTTGGCTACGGTTATCAAAATCATTATTATGACCCCAATTTGGAAAGCTTTTTTTTTTTTACGCGAACGTCGTCGTCATCGAGCTATGCTCGGTAAGTGTCAATTTCGAGCCCAAAATCCGCCATTTTCCTTTTCGAAATTCAATTTTTAGTTATTTTTTATTATTTATGGTAATATTTTGTTTCCTTTTTTCTATATGTTAGAGAATCCGGATTGAGCCAAATTTTTAACAACTTACTTCTTTTGTTTCATATTTTATTTCGGTATGATTTTTGGGATTTTGTCATTTTTGGTAAATTTTCCATATTTTTGAATCTTCTTAGTTATTTAACCCGGCTTGTGGGTTAATTTTCTTCATTCTACATTGATAATAAAGTTGAGTTAATTACAGAGAATTTCTCTGTATTTTATGAGGCGTTTTCTTTCATACTTCTCTTTGTGAATCATCTGTTGCAATGAGTCTGTAGGATGATTGCTATCCTACCTAGCGTCATGGTTTTTAGTAGAGCCATTTCAATGAGGTGCCGATAATTAATTCGGTCACTTTGCCAATACCGAAAAAAAATTCAATGAGTAATATCATCATCCGAGATTTATTAGGTATCAAAACTCAACAAATCTTTTACTTGATACCCAATCAATTTGCAAACAACCAAAACACAAAGTTTGTATTTGCATAATCAACGCGACCAAATAAAATTGAAATCCCTGACCTTACCTCGTGTTTTGGACCTAAAACAAGGCTAAGTTAAGACAAAATACCCGAGTAAGAACAAGTCACAATTCCCAATCAAGAGCATGTCCTTTATGCGATGAAGATATAATATAACATAACACACAGATCTTTAAAAACACATTCACAAAAAAGACTAACACCAAGTTAATCAATCAAATGGCCAACACATATACAATAAATGCATAAATGACCCCATGAAAAAACCTTACAACACTTAATCTTACACCATTCCCTGTAGTGCATACCTCAAATCATATATGCCCTCTCATCATCCACCATGCTCACT